TGTCTGCGATCAGGGCATGTTTGCTGCTTCGCATGCTGCTGGGTTGAGTGATGGTGCCGCGTGCCCACAGCTCGTTCTTGCTGTTGGAGGACGTGTTGAGCATTGTGACCTCATCGCCCTCGTTGACAGCGATGGTGCCGTGGGCGAGGGAGTCCTCAAGCTTGGCGTGGTAAGGGAATCGATCGTATGGCCCATCGGGACGGTGAGTGCGTCGGGGCTTACATTATCCTGGGTGATCGTCGTGAAAGGGGAAACATCTACTGGGCTTCTGGGGCTCCACTTGCATCGGGGGAAGTTGGTTGTCGTTTACGATGGGAGTATTGATGCTGGGCGTCGGGTCGCAAATGCTGGATGCCATCGTGTGCATGCGTTGTTCTCCTGCCGCGGGTGCTCCCAGCTGTGTGCTCGCATCGTCGTAGTCGGTGTTGTTTTCTTGCTTGTGCTGTGGTATCTTCTTTGAAGGTCGGCATGGTGGGTGGGTCTTTCTATCTCGCTGGCTTGAGGCCTGGGTTTGGCGTGCTTCGAGGAGAGACTTGGTGAGCTGGGCGGAATATCGCGGGGCAAGGCGTGGTTGCTGGCATTGTGCTGGTCCTTGTGCTGCCGCTGAGGGCAGGTGTGATCGTGCGAGTCATGTGGGCTGTCTTGTCGGTTGCGTTCGTCAGTGTAGTTTGCTCTTTGCGCGTTCTCTCCCACGTGAGGTCGGTTCCCGCTTCGGTATTATCTCCATGTGGACCCCGCGCTCGAAGATACCGTGGTCGTCCCATGGTGCAGGTGTGGGTTTCGGGCTGCGCATCTGCTCGACGCTGTGGAGAATGCGGCGCGCGCGCGGAGGGTGCGGGCCCAGCTCGCGCAAAGGTGCGACGGCGAGCAAGTTGGCCGAATATGAGACAGGGCCTGGTGTATTGGATCAGCTCGAGGTGGGAGAAAAACAGACCAAGTGCTTGCTCGCTGTACCATAGATGTGCTCGGTCGACCCTTTCGTGGACGTCTGGGTCCCGTAGGTAGTCGGTCCACATCTTTTCGAATAGGTCGTGGAATGTGAGTTTCATGGCTTTGTCGATATGCTCGCGCATGGCTGGGTGCTCTGGATTTTTTCTCGGGGGGGTAGTCGGTGAGGGATGGGGGGCATATCGGCCTCAGGCGGCGGTGGAAGCAGCCGTCCCTGTTGATGCTGAAAACCTCGATGTTCTGGTCGCTGAGCTGCCGAGTACAGCATGGTTCGTAGTTGGAGTCGTCTGGGAACTTACACGGGGTGGTGCCTGTGTCCTTCTTGTGGTGATAGGCGAGGCTTCTCGTTGCGTCAGCGCGTGCGGCCCAGCAAGGTGGCAATCTCCCATGGTGGGATGAGTCCGGTGGGAGAGTTTCGCCTTGCTTCTAGGTTGGTGGGTCGCATGGACCGCGGGAGCATCGGCTGACTCCTGGCATCGTTGTGGTAATTTGTATGGGGGTTCTGCCTGGGGGTGGGCCAGGCGGCGGGGGCGGCTGGTTAGGGATCGGGGTTTCGGTCTGCTGGCACATGATCTGGACGACGTTGGGCACAGGGATTGGCATGGCAAGGTGAAGTTGTGGGGTGGATCTTCGCTGGATGAGCTGCAGGTCAGTGCGCGTGGTAGTAGTGCGCGCAGGGCGTTGTACTTGTTGTGGTCGAGCCTCTGGGAAAGCCGCGTGCCAATCGGAGAAGTTGTGGTAGGTCCAGTTGGTGGGCTGGAAACCAGCGCTGCGTAGTTTGTGGCAGTAGTGAAGGAGGTGGCGTGTACTGTGGCTCTCCTCTTCGTCGATGCGATACTGCCTTGCTTTGTGGGCCTCATGTTCGGATAGCTTGTCGACGTCGGTAGCCTTTATCTGCATAGTGCCGCCAAGTATGATCTCAATAGGTTGCTTGTACTCTGGTGCTTCGTAGTCAGGTCGCTGTCTCGTCTCGGCGGGGGCATTCCCGTCGGGGGTGAACTCTACGTGGTGGACGATGATCTCCCGCTTGGTTGCCTCGGCGTGGACGTTGGTGGTCCCGTCGGTTCTCGCCGCGCATGTCTCCGTAGTAGTTACGACCTCCTGCAGAACTTGTGCTGGGTAGTCGATGAGGGCGTTGTCGATGATGGCGGGCCATTTGGAAAGGTCACTGATGGGCGCGCTCAGCCTGAGGATCGCCATGTGATCGATCTCCTCTGTCGGTTGTGGTGGCGGGCGGTATGTCCCCGCCCATGCCGATGACAATGCGGTCTCCCGTTGGTGGCATATACACATATATATGTATATATGCATGTGCTGGTGCTCGTTGTCCTCTAAGGCCCCTCTCGTCACAATGTAGTCCACCGGTTGTTTGTGCTGTAGTGAGGTGGCGACCGATGGGTAAGATTTAGCTGTCAGTATATGGGCGTAGTGCCCCTCCTCCGTGGGATTCAATGATGTATCCTGCGCGTGCCGATTGTATCCCTATCTCGGAGGTCGGGTACAAGGTGCCGTAGATGTCGGTGGTCGCCGCGATGTAGATCTGCTAGCTGTATCGCTCCATGCTGCGGTGGGCGGCTTTGCGCTCTATATCCTGGAAGTTGTGGCGCTTATCCATGCCCTTCTTTTTGGAGATGTGTAGGGTCTGTAGATTTGTGAAAGGCCCCTCGTCTTTGTTATTCCACGGTGGTGATTCTAGCTGTGGTGGGTCTATGCCTGCGAGCGATAGGATGTCTTGCCATTCCAAGTTGCGGGCGGGCATATGCTTGGAGTCGCGGCCGTTAGCAGCGTCTTCTGGTGGGCGGTACTTTGCAGCGGGGCGGCAGCGCGGGCAGACACTAGGTCTGTCCATCCAATGGATTGCGTCGGTCCACATCTCGTTGCTGGAGTGGGCCAGAAAGTCGTCGCAAACGGTGCCCCAATTCCCCATGGACTTTGTCCCTCCAGCATTCCCCCGCGGCGGCGAGGTAGGCGATGGCGATGTGGCGATGGAGGGTGGTTCGCACAAATCCGCCCTTCACTGCAGCGGGGACGTGCACGTAGCCCAGGTCGAGGTAGACGTGCGTGCAGTGGCGTGTGAGGGCGTCGGATGCGTCGGTTCCCTGTGAAAACCTTACAACGCCTGGGCACGCAGTAGCTTCTTGTGGTTCTGTTCGGGGGTCCCCTGGGGCGTCGGTGAGCGCCTTCTTGTTGTCGTGGCCCTTGCTGTTGGACATCGGGGGTAAGAATTCCCTTTTGTTGGTGCTCTGGTGAAGCCTCGCTCCGCATCTTGCGTGGGGCTGCGTTAATGGCTGCGACTCGTCGTTGGTTAGCGTGGTCGGGGCCCTTAACTCCGTTGGCGCAGTGGAGCTTGATCTCATTGAAGTCGGTGAACTTCGGTAGATTGCCAAAGACTTCTGCGGATACCCAGATGTATTCTTGATCTTCGCGAGGTAGGGTGATCCGCTGAGGATAGAAATCCAGCGGAGGCTTCATGGCGCACTGCGCTCGGCAATGAGGCGCGCCAGGGGCGCGCGTGTCAGCTTAGGCTGAGCTCTTGGGCCGATGCTGGGTTGCTCTTGGTGATATGTGGGTTGTTCTTTGCTGGCGATGCATTGGGGGGTGGGGTGGGGGGGGGCATTTCTCCTGCGGGGCGAGCGACCGGGCGCCGCGGGGAGGCGTGCCAGAACCAATGCCGAGGTAACGGCATGTCCCCTAAGCAATGGACCGCCGTGGCCCGCAGGCCCGCATGGCGGGGCGGCCGCCGCCCGTCGGGGTCATCCTGTTGTCCTCCATTGCCGCCCGTGACAGATCAACATGTAGTCGTTTCCTCTCTAGAAGTCGTGCCGCGGGTCCAATGGGATGTAGAAATCCGCAATGTCGCCTTCCATGTCCCAGTTATCGCGGTCTAGTGGTTGTGTCCATCTGTGGTGGATGGCGTCCATGACGGCGTGAGCTAGTTGTCTGCGCATCTCGGTGGTGTATGCCTTGGCGGTAGAGCTCTCCCACGAGCCATCGTGGTTCCTTCCAGGTTAAAGGGTGGTGGTAGCCGATGCCATGGTTGCATTTCCCGTGGTTGGGTAGTAGCGTTATCGCCCGGCGTATTTCTGGCACCTGCACTGCGAGGAGCGCAGTAGGTATGACGGCTGTCTGTCCAGTCATGCACTAGTCGAAGGTGATGACGTCCACCCCGTCAATCCCACTCAGGTGTGTTAGTTCTGGTAGTGACCGGCAGCTGGCTGTGTCTCTCTCGTCGTTGGCTGTGCCGGGGTGCCCCATGATTGCGGGGGCCTTCGTGTTGAGATATATATATATATATATATGCGAAGAGAGTGGCGGCACGCAGTAGGTGGTTGTCGCTGTGTACTTGGTCGGACTGCCGTAGTGACAGATGCCTGGTCCAGGGCTGTTGTCGGCTCCTCAGAGGTCGTGGCTGGCGCCCGCTCCATGTCTCGCAGGGCGGCCCAGCTATGATCGCGGCGACGCGACCGCGCAGGAGCTGGTACCTCCAGAACTGCATGGCGTCCCTTTTCGCGAGGTCTCCCTTGATCTCGTCGTGTCTCGTCGTGGGTGCTGTCAATTGAGGGTGTTACGATGCTGTTGCCGTTGGAGTTAAGGTGCTCTATCCATTTCTGTACGTCACCACTGCGTCTGTGTCCGCTGTATATGTGTAGGATAACCTGCCTCGAAGTTTATGTGGGTCCTGGTATGGGCGCAAGGTCGGGTCTTGCTTCCAGTGGTACTGTAGCAGATATGGGCAACTCTCTTGTAGCCACGTGGTCCTTGACGTACGGCGGCCGCATGTCCGTCTTGTAGCTGACGATGCGTGCGCGGAGCGGAGGTAGTCCCGCCTTGATGTTGGCTCTTTGCTTGTCGCGCATGGCTTCTCTGTTCGCTTCTGCGGTTGCCTCGCCATGCCTGTCGGTGTCTCGTTTCCAAAGGGCTGCGCATGCGGTGCACGCGAGTACGTGGTTGACGAGTCGTCCAAATGTGTGGTATTCGTTGGTGCATGTCAGGAATCTCGCTCCGCGAGGCCATCTGGTTGGGCGTTCATCCGTCGGGCGGTGTTTTCCCACGTGGGCGCAGAAGGCGTCGATCTCCGTGAAGGCGGCGCCACACTCGTAGCACATGATCGTCTTGTCGTTGTGGCTGTTGTCGGTCATGAGTTGTGGGGCGTGGTCGTTGTTTTGGTAAGGTCGCAAGCTGTTGTGCAATTGTCGCAGGGGCTCTTGGTCTCGGTAGTGTCGCGCGTGGCGCTGCGTCACTGTCCTCGCCTGTGGCGCGAAGATCCGAGGCGTCCTGCGGATTAAGCTGAGGACGGGGTCGAGGTCCACGGCGGGGCGCAGCTTGCGCTCGTCGTCGAGCTATGTCCACATCCACCGTCGGTCGCCGTCCCCGTGACGAGTTGCGGCCGAGGTTGGCGTCGATGATTCGCAATAATGTGGTCGGGGCAAACTGTAGAAGTCTGGGTAAACATTGTAGCCTGAAGATGCGCGTGGCGATGTGCGAACCTGGTCGTTTTACCTCAGTAAGTACTCTGCCGTTGTTGGTATTCTGGCGGTCGTGGTTGTGGGCCTTGCACCCGACTGCCATCCTGTATCCCTGCAGGCACTCGGTCTCAACGGCGTGGGGCTGCCCCTGGTTGAGAGGGTTCCAACTATGAGAGTTGCAGAAGATAGCCGAGTTGGTGAGCGCGTCGTTGAGGAGGGTCTTTTTGTCGATGCCCAGCTGGTTTCGCTTGTAGACCTCCTTGCGCAGTGGGGCTCTGTTCGTTGTGGCCTGTGAAAGTATCCGGTATATTGCTGGTAACTGTCCTCCGTGGAATATAGCGGTGCCTGGCGATATCTGGTCATTGGCGAACTCAATTGGCTCGCTGAGGTGCTCGTTCTCGATGTGCATGATGTTGTTTCTGGCAGATTGCTCCTTGGCTGTTCTACTCTGGTGTCCGCGCAGGAGCAACATGATCTTGGCCTTTTTGGCGTGGAGTCGCATGCCGTGGGCCATGGCCAATTTGACTATGATGTTGGAGGGCGTCTTGGCCGTGCTGATGATCTCAGGTAACGCGTCGTGTCGCACGCGGGCGTAGACAATCATGTCGCCTACGAAGGATGCGTCGGGAAGTTATGCTCCTCCGTCCTCACCCTCTCTTGCGTGTCTGCCCATGGAGAAGATGTATTCCTGGCGTCCTGCGTCGCTGTCGATGCGCATGCGACTGTCGATCATATCCCCTGCGATATGTCGCGCAACCTGAGCAAAGAGGTAGTTGCAGGCGAGGTCTGATGCTGGCACTCCAGGCCGGGCGCCAGTGCGAGGCTGTGCCATCCTGGTGGATCCTCTCGCGGTGGCTCACATGTCTGTGTGCTTGTCTTTCTGTAGTGCGCATAGGTGCTCATCATCCACGTTGTGGTTGAATATAGGCGCTCCTTCCATAGCCATCTGTAGTGCGGGAAGGCATGAATCGGGCATGTTGGTGTCGTATAGCAAGTCGTTGAGCCCCTCTGTGCGCGTGGGAACTTGAAGACAAAATACAGCGCGACTCTGTAGAAGGCACCCCTGAGGTCCAAGAAGAGGATCATAGCTGATTCGCCACTTTCACTGAGGTAGTTCACGACGCCGAGGGTCGCATGTGTGACGAAGTCGGTGGACTGATGCGGTCGTGCGCCCCATTGTGTCTCGTAGTAGTTGCGCCGAGATATTCTTGAGTCTGGTACGTAAAAAGCGGTGGTGGTGCTTAGCTATGATGTTGTTGGGTAATATCATCCATCTCGCTTGTAGGTCTGGTTTGGTAGCGTTGGACTTAAAGAGTGATGTTTGCCATCCACCTCTGTGGGAGATTGGTTCCACCGTCGCCAGCTGTGCCCTTTACCAAGAGCGGGCGGCAGATTCTGGTCATCTCGTCCGGCGCGATCATGCAGTAGTCATCGATGAGATTGTCAGGGCCCCCGGTCCTGCCTTGCTTCGTCCTCGTGAACTGGCGCTTCGTCTCTTCTTCGGTGGTGATGTTGTGGAGCGGTGTGTCGCTCAGCGCTCTGATGGTGGCTGCGTAGTTGGCGCGATGGTTGCGCGCGTCGGCGATGCCCTGCGTGCTCATGATCTTCGGGTGCTCTGCGATGGCGACGTGGTCCAGCCCTACTTCCACCTGCTGCCGTTGATGATGAAGAGGTCGGCCGTCAGGGCAGATGGCGCACAGGCGTTCAGCCGCAATGCGTCCCGGTCTGCCTCCATGCGTCAGGGGCCTCCTGATGTCGGCCCATGCTCGTCTGGAGTCGTTGTTAATGTAGGCGTCTTCTGCACTGTTGGCGATGCTCTCGAATTAATTGGGGCGGTCGGCCCCGATGGCGCATGCAAGCTGTGGTGATGATCCGCGTAAGACTGGAGCTATCTCCTCGTGGTGGGCGCAATTGTGTATAATGTCTTCGGCTACGCGTTGAAGTGCAAGTGGGGTTTCTGCGTCCGTCACGGCCTCGCATGCACTGATGGTGGGGGCGCGGGCTTCGTGGATCTGATAGTCGAGGTTGAGAAGGCCTTCCCGTGTCTCGAGGCTCTAGCATGCTCGACGCACGCAGACGAGGGCGAACGTCGCGGGTTGTAAGTGCGGCGCCCCCGGGTGAACCACATCGGTCGTGAAAGCCTTGACTCTGCATCATGTGCGCGTTGTGAGAGGTAGCTCGCGTGGTCGTTCATCTCATCTTCGAAGGGTGGTAGTGGGGCGATTGCGATCTCGCCCTTGAACTTCTGACCGCGTGGGCCTCTCAACTTCGAACGGCCCGCGGGCATGCCGCACCGATTGATGGTCTTCTCGATGTAGGCCAGGTCGGCGATGATTGGGCAGCTGTCCTCGTCGTCCTGGCGGGTGTCGAAGTCGTCCAGGACCTCTATGTGATTGACGGTCGGCTCTTGTCCACATGGTAGGCAAATGTAGTCGATCCGCTGCTTGATGTTGCTTCCCGCGCGTGCGTCGCTGGGCCCGCGCGTCTCGATGGCGGCGCTGGCGGCGAAGAGGTTGTGCTGCAGCAGGTAGGTGTGGAAATACTTACCTCCTCTACGTTCTTCCTCTGGTTGGCCTTATCTCCGCGGGGCGAGGAATTGCCGCCAGTAGTGCCACTGGCACCGACGAGGGCGATGTCGCCGTTGCACGCGTCTCAGCGCTAATGTTGCCCCGGCATCGGCTGCAATCGGGGTCGCCAGCATGCGAGCGCGGCGCGCGTGCGACCGCTATGGTTCGCTTGAATCCAGGCGCGGTAAACTTGACGATCAGTCGTCGAGGAGTACGCGTGAGTATTCTCCAGTGTTTGGGTTTGAAGTAGAGCTGTTTGCCGGCCGTTGTCGCCGTGGCAAGGGAGATGAATATAGACTAATCTTGAGCACCCCAAATGGTGTTGATCGTGTCCGCTTGAGATGACTGTGCGCTGGTCGGCGGCATAGGCCCCCCGCGGCAGTCTTGACTCCTGCGTCCCAATGATGTGTACATTTATGTCGGAGAGCTGTTGTCGGATGACTGTAACTCTGGCCACCTTTCTCTTTTTGTCGCGCCCCTGCTTCTCTGGGGCAAGGAAGGAACGTGCGTCGTAGGTGCAGATGCGAAGTCGATGGTCCTGTCGCTGGAGGTCTCGGTGTGCTGCGGTGCGAAGTGGATCGGCCGAGCCTGTATCTTCGCTGGAGATGCCTCAAGTCCGTGCTGGTGCATCTTAGGGTGCGCATCCTCTGTTTCACTGTCTGCTTCTTGTAGCCGCTCCCACTGTCGTTCTCTGTCGGCGTGGAAGGCGCGTGCTTACTCGTCTTGTGGGCAATGCCGCTGGTTGCTGGGCGTTGCTGCGTACGTCTTGGCACGATAGTCTGTTTGTTCGTTCCACGGGTGTCCTGCGCGCGCTCGTGCGTGGTCGGTGTTTAGGTTCACCGCCTCAATGGCGAGGTCGTGTAGTAGCCGCGCTAAGTCGGTCAGCTGGGTAGGTTTCTTGGGTTGGAAATTGCCCGTGGCGAATCCTCTGGCAATCGAAGAGTCGGCACGGATGGCGACGTCGGTTTTGCGAGTAGCGTTGTGGAAATGTGCGCATATCCACGCGTGGGCCCAAATAAGAGCTGCCAGTTCTGATGTGGTGGAGTTGCTGGGGAAGTTGCCATCTCTGAATGCGACGTTGCTGCGTGCTCCGATGCCCCCCTGGTAGATGGGGCCTTGTTCGTCTCTGGCGGTGATAACCGGGGCCCGCGAGTCTTGGTGGAGTCTCGCTGGCGCGTGCTATCTGCGCATTGGCGACATCTTTTGGCTTGTCGAAGGGGTCGAGGCGGGCGCGGCCCAAGCGCCGCGGCGGCGGCTGGGTGGAGGTCGGGCAGGTTAGCGAGGTCACGCTGGTGCTGGAAGGTAGGCGGCGACGCGCGTCTCAGGGCGGCCGCTATCGGCTCCGTCGGAAGGAAAGGGGCTGCGACTGTGGAGCTCCTCCCTTGCTGCGCACCTCGAGGGGGGATGGTTCTCTCATAGGTGCGTCGGTCTGTAGATGAAGTACCCTCCGCGCTGATGTCCAGGTCGCCATGCACGGAGCCCGAGCTGTCGTCGCGCGGTGGCTCGTATCTGGTCGAATGGGCGTTGCCGGGTCGACGGCTGCCCCGCCGCCCCTCTCAACGGCCAGGCTTGCCGAACATCCTCCGCCCCCCTCGATGTTAGCTGCTGCTGGCGGTGGCTTGGTGTCCCTGCCAGCACGTGTATTCACTGCGTTGCTGCAGGGGCTATCCGAGGAAATGTGTCGTAGTTTGTCCGTGCGACGCTGGTAAGATGGGAGCATTGCTGCTCGTTGAATTCCAGTTCGGCGTTGGTAGCGGGATCGCGAATTGGGTCGAACCCGTCTGGCTCTGGAGCTGTCAGACGCGGCGCAACTAGTCGCCCCAGATGCGACGTGCTCATCTGTGGACCCTCCTAATGAGATGTCAGCCTTTATAATGAGTGTACTTATATCGGCCCTAGTGGCCTCAGTGACGGCGGCGCCCCCAATGCCGCCGCGCCTCGTCAATTTTTTGGAAATGTGGTCGCGGGCGCCCACGTCGACGCCACTGCTGCCAGCGTCGACGCGGTGACTCATGAGGGTGATGTTTCTCGCGGCTGCTGGATCCGCTGCGCCCTGGCCATTGTCCGCTGCGAAACGCACGGGGCGTCGCGGCGCCGACGAAAATCGGCCTTGCCCCATGCGCCCGCGGTGCGCGCGAGCTTCTTCCGATGGCTGCGCGGGGGGCTTCGGCGGCAACGATGCTGCTCTATTCGGTGGGGTGCCAATGTGAAACGTAGGTGCTGGTCGGGGTCGATCGGCGCCATGCACTTCGTTGGTGATCTGGTTGCTTCCGTTAGGGGTGTGCGTGGTGTCGTTTCTGTCGTCACTGTTGGTCGAGCTGTTCGTTCCTCTTCGCCTGCCATCGGCGTCGGCGCCTCGCCCCCCTCGAAGCCGCTGCGTTGGATGTGGAACTTCTCAGACCAATTGAGATAGTAGTCGCCCTTCCTCGGCAGCGTTGAGGCTGGTTCCCAGGGCTCGACTTGAGGTTGGAGATGTTCGCGGAACGGCTCGGATCTCGCAGTTTGAATAAACCCGTCGGCGTCGGGCGAGGCAGCTGGGCGCCCGTCTTCTGGCGTAGACCAAGCTAAATTGCCCTGGCCCTCCTCGCGGCGGCATTCGCCCCTCTGGGCCTGGGCGCCGCGGTCCTCGATGACGGGGAGGGGCGGCAATGAGCTGGGCTCTTGGGCCGTCTTCTTGCGGCGCAATTCCTTGCGGCGCCCGCGAGCAGGTAACAGTTGGGTCGGGGCCGCCGTGCCTGAACTGGTTGGCGAGGTCGTGGGCGAAGTCTGCTTTTCTCTCCGCCTGCGTTGCGTGGATCTCTGCCCCGGCGCCCTCGAGTTGTCGAGCGCGTCGCTGCGCCTGCGCCTCCGCGACGCGGTGCTCATTGTGAAGATGCTGCAGCAGGTGGTCTTGCGACCCTATTGAGGTTCTTGCTGCGCTGAGCCGGCGGCGGTCGTGGCGCGCGCGTTCCGCTCGGAGCTCCACTGTCGCAGCGCAGGCCTCTTTGCGCTGGTGGAGCTGGGCGATGTGGTTATGCGTGTCCTCGGTCCGCCTTTCAAGTGCGTGGATGACTTCGGTCTTGTTCTGGCACTGCTTCTTCTTGGCGTGCAGGATCTGCTTTACCCGTAGATCTTGTTCGCGAGGTAGCTGATGCGTCGCTCTGAGAGGTTGTAGTTGTGCTGGATGTGCCGGCGCGCCTGGTCCTCGAAGTCTACGTTCTTGGCTTCCGCTGTTGCGAGTTCTGGCCATAGCTGTTCTTGCACGCGCTGTTGCGCGCGGAACTGACGCGCTGCAACCCTTGTCTGTTGTAAGCCGTTGATGATGATCTGTTGCTGGTGCTCTAGGTGCTGGGCGGCTTCGTCTTCATCTGCCAAACACTTCTCGGGGTTGTTGCACTTGATGATCGCATCCGCGACTCCCGGCTGCCGTGGCCGACGCAGCTGAAGTCGCGCTTCTTCCAAAACTTTTTGAAGGTACTCGCTGGTGGCTGCTGTCGTCCGGTAGTTCTCGTAGTATTGCCATATTTCGTTGGGGATTCTATTGTTGCGGTCGGCGGTCTGCCGCATAACGCTGTTCGCCTCGCGGAGCTCGTGTTTGAGGTTCTCGATGGCGATGCTGCCTGTCTCGGTCATGCGCGCGCCGTGCTCTGCGATCTTCTCGGTCGCATTCCTGATGTTGTAGATGTCCTTCTTGTGTTCCTCCATCTGGTCGTGCTCGAAGTTCTGGAGCTCGCGGCGGCTTTCCTTTTCGTGCTTGTTGTGTGTCTCCTTCGCTTCCTCGAGCTGGTTGATGGTGGCGTTTTGCTGCACGACATGACTTCGTTGCACTTCAGCTTTTTGCTGTGCTTCTTGGAGTTCTCGTCGCAACTCGTTGGCGGTGGAGGCCTCCGTAGGTGGAATTGCTGGCGATGCCAGTTACGTTTCTCCAATGCATCCTCGGCGCCGTCCCCTGGTGTTGGGCGCAGGGGTGTCGGGACGCGGTTGAGCCTCCTGGGCGTCGTCGCTGATTCGGCGTCGGCGTCGTCGTCCGAATCGGCCCCCCTTATGCTGTCGTGGACCCTTCGAAGCTGGCGACGCCGATCTCCCAGTAATGTGGTTTTTTTTTTTTCTGTAGTTCCACCAGCTGTTGGTGCGCGTCGTCCATCTTGTTGATTGTGTCGTTGATCATTCCCTCGACCTCTCGCCGTTGATCCTTTGCGTCGTGCGAGTACAGAAACATTGACTTTTGTGGTCGGATCCTGGTGACGATGCCGCTGAAGTCGTAGTCGTCGTTGGCGCGCCTCTGGACGTGGTGATGAGGCAGTCGACGTCTGCCTTGCAGTTCTTGCGGCACTCCTTGACTCGGCCGAAGCGGCGCATTGGTGGTGGCTCGTTCCAGTCCTGCTGCCTTCTGGCTTCGGTGACTGTCATGGGGGCGACGTTGGCAGCAGTCTCAATTCTCTTCTCCTGTCTGCGTTGCACGTTGAGGCTGTGCTGTTGTTGCTTTTGTGTTTGCTGCTGCTGCTGCTGCTGTCCCATGGAGCTGCCACTGCCCGTGCCGCAGGTGTCGTCACGGTTGCGGGCGCGCCATTGTGTCCGAGGGGTTCCTGAAGTCTCCCTGTGGTGTTGCTGGTGTCGGTGTTGGTGCTGCCGTTGATGCCATTGGCGATTGTGGCAGCTGCCAACTGGAGCCTGAGCCATCTTGGGCGCTGTGGTGGACTTCGAATAGTCCTCGTGCTCGGCCCAGTCGTAGTAGTACGCGCGCGTCGGCGCGATCCCGTCGTAGTCGTCGATGCCAAGCAGGACTGCGCTGGCGGGTTGAAGACGTCGTGGTAGGCGAAATCGGCGAGGAAATCGAGGCAGACCAGGAAACCGATGTAGACGGAAATCCTGGCCGGGATATCGCGGGCCTGGAGGAAACAATGAATGTGGGGAGCAAGTTGCAGCATGGGAAATGTGGCCGCGCTCGGCGTGGCCTCTGGGAGCCTCCAGGCACCAATGCCTCCTCCTCCTCCTCCTCCTCCTCCTCCTCCTCCTCCTCCTCCTCCTCCTCCTCCCCCTCCTCCTCCTCCGCCTCCTCCCTTCCTCCTCCTCCTCCTCCTCCTCCTCCTCCTCCTCCTCCACCTCCTCCTCCTCCTCCTCCTCCTCCTCCTCCTCTTCCTCCTCCTGCTCCTCCCCCCCCTCCTCCTCTTACAGGCGGCCGACAGGAGGCGCCGACCCGGCCGCGGCGCCGGGAAGCCTTGGTGCGCAGCGTGCGCGTGCTCGCCTGCGCCTGCAGGAGGCTCGGGCTAGGGAGCGTCTTCTTGAAGAGTCCGCAGGGCCACACCACCGGGGCCAGAGTGCGTCGCGCCCACGGGGCTGGCCTGCTCCTCCCCAGAGATCCAACGTATTGAAAAAATCAAGACGGAGGTTTTTCACAAATTTCAGCCCCTAGGAGCCCTCACCGGGCCTCGGGACTGGCAAAAAACGGTTCAGGATGAAAAGCCGGTCCTGGGGAATGGGTCGAGACTTCTGGGGAGCCCGCATTGAAAAAATTACGACATCGGATCTCTGGGTCTCGCTCGGCGAGGCACCAGGTGGGGTTCACCAGAGCATCGAGGCCAGCATGCGCGGACGCTCTGTTCCGTTCCGTTCCGTTCATCCGTTCTGCGTCCTCCTTCCTCCCCCTCTTCTGGATCGTGGGGCCGCTGTGGATCCCGGCAGGCTGGCCGCTCTGGGGCCGCGGCGCGGCCGTGCACTCTGCAAAGGGGCCGCTCGCCTGCGAGCTCCTTTTGCCCACGCGGTGGCGCAGGTGGTGGCGCGACCTCCTTCTCAGTGAAGCGCCAGCCGCTTCCTGAGCATTTTCTTAAGGTGGAAGGCTCAGGGTGTCATCCATATGGGCTTTTGCACCTCGAGGACCAATCCGTCCTGTGATTCACCTCTGGCAGATTCAAACCTCGAAAATGAATCGAAGCGGCATTTCAGAACTCACCCTTTTGCCCTCCGCCCAGAGAAAATGCTGGGGCTTCTGCTCACAGAAGCCAAACTGCAGACTCCGGAGCATGGGCGGTCTGTGGCGGGCACTGCCCCTCCCCGCCCCCACCCCCGGTCCCCCTCTGGCAGGCACCGTCGCGGGCGGACGGTCGCGGCAGCAGGCACGGATTCCAGTGCGTCGTCGTCGTTGAGAATCTTGATCGTCTCGTGGATGGCTACGAGCTCCTGGAGGCGACCGTCCAACCAGAAGGGGCAGCAAATCTCATCAACAACAAACCTTTAGATCCGAGCGATTTTCAGACAGCACAAACGGAAGACAACATGCCGCAACCGTATTTGAAACATGTGCTGGAGCAACTGGGCTGTGAATTGGAAGCACCTGGCCCAACAAGTGTGCCTCACCTCGTCCTCTGTTTGATGTTCAGCACTTGTTGCTCCCCGTGCTTTAAACCTGGTGCGTACACTCGTCTAAATTATCGTGTCAGCCTCAGCCTGCGCCATGAACATGTAAGAACATCCGATGTATTGAATATTACATCGTTGTATGCAGCCGCCTTGCAGTCATTAGGCTTTCCCTCAGGTGAGTGATGTAATGAGGACAATGGCGAGGGGATGGGAGATAGGAGCAGCGGCACAAGCAGCAGCAACGGCAGCAGGTGAGACGCTGGGCAGGTGAGGTCAGAACTCGTTCAGAACTCGTCGCGTAAAGTGGATTGCTTGCTCCGAATGTGTCCCAGCGCCCCTCGTCTGCGCCGCATGAGCCGAGGGAAGCCAACCTGGAAACCAACAAAACACTTGTTTGGGAAGGACAGGAGAAAGAGAAGCCAGGAGAAACCCTTCAGCGGCCTTCGGCGTCGCATTTGTCCTATATGCCGCTCCACAGAATTCGATGCACGTGTGTTGTAAACTAATGCTTAGGAGCCGGTGCAGTCACGGTCAGTGCACAATTTGTCCGCCCACTTGCTCAAATCAATAAAACGCATGTTCAAAAAAATCCGAATACAACGCGCGGGGTACGCACTGCATGCGCTCACGTTTCGCTATGCCGCGCATATTTGCGAAAAGTCCGAAGCAGACATGGGATTAAG